CAGCCAATCACAGGGCACACAGAGACGGACAACCATCCGCGCTCACACTCACACCTAGGGACAATGTAGAGTGTTCAATTAGCCTGCTATGCATGTTTTTGGAATGTGGGAGGAAACCGGAGTACCCAGAGAAAACCCACATAGGCCCGGGGAGAACATGCAAACTCCACATGGGGAGGCCGGAGCTGGAATTGAACCCAGTACCTCTGCACTGTGAGGTCGACGCATTAACCACTGGACCACCGGGCCGCCTGTTTGTAATTATGGATAATTAAATTACCGGTAGGCATGAGACAGGAAGCTAGAGACCTTTGGGAGTTCATTGTGTACAGATGACTCATTTCACGCAGTAATTTCTGAAGGAAGGGCAGTCATATGCTCTGATCTGTGAATGTGCAACCATTTAGCCCTTTTTGAGGGAATAGAAGTCATGGGATAGGCTGAGAAAGGAAGGCTGATTAGGAATAGCATGCAATTGCACATGAGTGGTTGAGTACACCTCTGCTGGCATGTGACTTAATTTTTTCACTCAAAGAATATCAGTTTGTGACTCCACCTGCAAAACCTTTCTCAGACCTGGCCTCTAAAATGATAATAATAATTAAAATAGCACTGAATAGAGTGCAGACCGAAATATGTTCGTCTAACTTGTAAAATGTAATGCGTTACATGCAAGGCCATGCCATGGGTGCGGCTCCTTCCACTGGATCAGGCCTCAATTCTTAAATTAACGCCACTTTTATTTGGATCAGGACCAATACGTCCTGGACACTTACACGCATGAGGCAGACCTGTAAAATGTTTCTGTGAATCCATCCATCCATTATCGAAAATGCTTTTTCCTCACTAGTTTTATGGGTATGCTGGAGCTGTCCTCTGGCAGCAGGCGGGGTACACCCTGAACTGGTTGCCAGCCAATTGCAGGGCACACATAGATAAGCAGCCATTCACCCTCATAATGACACCTCGAGACAATAGAGTGTCCAATTATCCTACCATGCATGTTTTGGGGTTGTAGGAGGTAACAGGAGTGCTCACGCAGGCACGGGGAGAACATGCAAACTCTACGCAGGAAGGCAGGAGGCTGGGAATCTAACTCTGCACCTCTGCACTGTGAGGTGGACATGCTACCCAGTCGACCCCAAGTTTAATTAAAATCAAAGTCTGTTTGGTTAAAATGTTCATATCATATATATATATATATATATATATATATGAAGTCTCAGGGTGCTGGAGGCTGTATGCAAGCCGAAAGGAAGGAGGCCGGGGACTAGTGAGTGTGAGAGCCACTGTACAGGATGAAACATCCAAGCTCCATGAATATATCAAGGAGAAGGCTCCAACGGATGACGTACTCAGAGAATGCCTCAGACAATGGGGAACAGAGGATGAGGCGCTGGAAGAGGGACC